ATTTTTAGTAGAGACGGGGTTTCACCATGTTGACCAGGATGGTCTCGATCTCTTGACCTCGTGATCCACCCGCCTCGGCCTCCCACAGTGCTGGGATTACAGGCTTGAGCCACCGTGCCCGGCTAAATTATTTTTTTAGCCACAGAATCTCATTCTGTCACCCAGGCTGGAGTACAGTGGCATGATCACAGCTCACTGCAACCTCTAACTCCTGGGCTCAAGCAATCTTCCCTCATCAGGATCTGGAGTAGTTGGCACTACAGGCATGCACCACTAAGTATGATTTATTCCTGTTGATACTGACCTTGCTCACCTGGCTGTGGTAGTATTTGCTAGGTTTCTTTACTGTAAAGTTACTTTCCTCTCCCTTTCCATTCTGTTCTCTTTGGAAAGAATTCACTATTCTGTTGATTGTGTGTATAACCACAGTTAAGGAGTAGGATTTGTGCACCCCACCCTGAGAGTATTTACGTAAATGATGTGGACTTCTGCAAGGGACATTTGTCTCTTCTCCTCCTTTTATTTATTTAATCAATTATTTTTTTATCAGGGTTACACTAGTTATATTCGGTTATACCAGGCTATCTTGGGTTATAATACAACTTATTTTATTGCTCAAATTGTCCCAGCCTTGACCATTAAGAGCTCTTTCAGTTGGCTTCTGGGTCCCTCTGGTATACATTCATCAGTGTAGGTGTTTGTTTTTTGAGCACTTCCTCTTTCTGACACTACAACATTCTCTTTTTTTTTTTTAAGGGATGGGGTTTCGCCATGATGGCCAGGCTGGTCTTGAACTCCTGACCTCAGGTGATCCACCCACCTCAGCCTCCCAAAGTGCTAGGATTACAGGCGTGAGCCACCGCACCCAGCCCGACACTACAACATTCTCTAGGCTCATTTTGTGTATTTTCTGCCCCAGTCCTAGAATCAGCCATTTCTCCAAGGAGCCCAGGTTGATTTTACTGGAGAATGGTATTACAAACCAAGATCTGGTGCAAAGTATGCTTGGTATGGGGTATTATTGCTTCTAGGCCCTCTCAGCTGTTAAGACAATTAAATTTATGTATTTATACTAACGAGTATATAGACATATCCATAATATTTATCTATGTATCTATTTAAAAATAAACACGAGTTCATACTGGTGTCTCCAACTCTAATCCATGGCCAGATGGATTATTCTAGCCTTCTCCCCCTGCTTATCTATAAACCCACTAGAACAGTGAGAGGCTCACACCTGTTATCTCTGAAAAGCCAAGGCAGGAAGATCACTTGAGCCCAGGAGTTCAAGACCAGCCTGGACAACAAAGTGAGACCTTATCTCTCTCTAAAAAAAAAAAAAAAAAAAGAGCAGGCATGATGGCATGGCCCTGTAGTCCCTGCTACTGGGCGGGCTGAGGTGGGAGGATCCATTGAGCCCAGGAGATTGAGGCTGCAGTGTGCCACGATTGCACCACTGCACTCTACTAGCCTGGGCCACAGAAATCCAGTTAATTTTTAATTTTTTCATACAGACAGGATATTGCTTTGTTGCCCAGGCTGGCCTTAAACTTCTGACTTCAAGTGATTGTCCCACCTCAGCCTCCCAAAGTGCTGGGATTACAAGAATGAGCCACTGCACTCGGCCGAAATAGCTATGTTTTTTAGACTGAGTCTCGCTCTGGTGGCCAGGCTGGAGTGCAGTGGTGCAGTCTCTGCTCACTGCAACCTCTGCATCCTGGGTTCAAGGGATTCTCCTGCCTCAGCCTCCTGAGTAGCTGGGATTACAGGTGCTTGCTACCTCGTCCCGCTAATTTTTTGTATTTTTAGTAGAGATGGGGTTTCACCATGTTAGCCAGGATGGTCTTGATCCCCTGACCTCGTGATCCACCTGCCTCAGTCTCCCAAAGTGCTGGGATTATAGGTGTGAGCAACCGCGGCTGGCTAGTTTTTATATTTTAGTAGAGACGGGGTTTCACCATGTCGGCCAGGATTGGCCTCGATCTCTTGACCTCGTGATCTGCCCGACTCGGCCTTCAGTGCTGGGATTCCAGGCGTGAGCCACCGCGCCCGGCTATCAGCTCCAGTCTTACTACGACTAGTTTTTTCAGGTGCCCAGCTTCAGACAAACTCCTTGCTCCCTTACTGAGACACACTTTCTTTCACCTCGCTTGCTCCCGTTGGCTCTTCAAGAAACCTTTCTTCGGTGGGGAGCAGTGGCTCATGCCTGCAATTTCAACACTTTGGGAGGCCGACGCGGGCGGATGACTTGAACCCAGAGTTCGAGACCAGCCTGGCCAACACGGTGAAACCCTGTATCTACTAAAAATACAAAAATCAGCCGGGCTTGGTGGCGCGCGACTGCAATTCCAGCTACTTGGGAGGCTGAGGCAGGAGACTTGCTTGAACCCGGGAAGCGGAGGTAGTAGTGAGGGCGCTGAACCAGGGAGGCGCAGACTGCTGTGGTCCGAGATCGCGCCGCTGCACTCCAGCCTCGGCGACAGAATGAGACTTCGTCTCTGAAACAAAGTCTTTCTTGACAACCCTGTGACCACTGCCCCTAAGGCCGCCTTAGGCTCCCGCTCTCTGAAGTCCTGCAGCACTTCGCATTTCCCTAGCGCCGCACTGAGGACTCTGCGTTGTGTACTAGTCTGTCACCAATCTGCGAGTTAACAAGGCAGGGAATAACTTCTTAGGTTTAGCACGTGATAGGCACATAATCAACATTTACTGTTTAATTGAAACAAAATTAAAACTGGGCGCTATCTCAATCTTCATTTGTAATCGGCCCTAACTGCACTGGCAGTCTTTCCCGTTATTTTGTTTTCCATTCGCATGCGTACCTAGCTCTCCGGCTCCTTTACAAAAGAAACCCGAAGGACGCAAGCACAGCCAGCGAAAACGAAAAACCCTCAAACGGACAAGATGGCGGCCACCTCTCGCGCCTCTTAGTCCCACCCACTCAGGGAGGAGGTCTGCGTCATGTGACCTCCCCCTTCCTGGGTCCGCCTTCCACCGCAGTGCCTGACGGGAGGCGGAGCGGCGAACGAGGCCGTCGGCCATTTTGTGTCTGCTTCCTGTGGGACGGGGTGGAAGCCGTTGGGTTGGGAAAGTGAGCGATTTTTCGCTTCGTTTCTCCTGCTTCTTTTTTCTTCCCTACTACTTTATCGGTAGAGCGCAGTTATGGGTCGCAAGAAAAAGAAGCAGCTGAAGCCGTGGTGCTGGTATCCTTTGTCGGTTTGAAGTCGAGGTCGCGCTGGGGTGCCGGTTGGTGGGGCCTGGGACTGGGAGGCCTGGGTTTGGCCTATGCCGTGGAGGGTTTGTATCTAGGCTTCGGCGTGGGTGGTCTGGTGGCTGGGATTGGACTTGAGAAGGCTTCTGGGAAAATGGAGTTCCGGGGTCGAGAGGGTTCTTGCAGTTGTGGGTCGTGTGACTATGTGACTCAGGAGGATCTTGTTTGGTGCGAATTTTGGACTCAGTGGGAGGCGGCCTGGACCCCTCCGCCAAGGACAGTGACCCCTAGGGACATTCAGACACACACTGTTTTTGGTGACGATTCAGCAAAGGGACTTTTTCTTCGAGTGCGAAAGGCTCTTCCCAGTCTGTCACCCACTTTTTCTGTTTTTATTTATTTATTTTATGTCTGTGTTTTTTTGTGTTTGTATTTTCGAATTGGCGGTTTGGTAAAGGCTCAAGTTAGGCCACCCTTTTTCTCTTTTCGGGGCCAGGGGAGAACTAGCTTCCGTCTCACCCAGAGGCGCCTTAATCTTCAGGAAGCGTTCTCACAGGGTGGAGTTTCTGTTACTCAACTTTGTAGGACTAAAAATGCCTCTTATTAGAAAGGAAAACTCTTACTAAAGTGTGACATTATTTAATGCCATTTCCGGAGTCGTTGATATTCTTTACGTTAAAATTGATTTTGACCGGGCGCAGTGGCCCACGCCTGTAATCCCAGCACTTTGCAAGGCCAAGGCGGGCGGATCACTAGGTCAAGAGATCGAGACCATTCTGGCCAACATGGTGAAACCCCGTCTCTACTAAAAATACAAAAATTATGTGGGCGTGGTGGTGCGCACCTGTAGTCCCAGCCACTTGGGAGGCTGAGGCAGGAGAATCGCTTGAACCAGAGAGGGAGATTGCAGTGAGCTGAGATTGTGCCGCTGCATTCCAGACTGGGCGACAGAGCAAGACTGTCACCCAGAAAAAAAAAGATTCTATTTACTGTCTTGTACGTAAAGGCGGCCTTTTACAGTTCTGCGTTTATTTTTTATTTTCGTTTTGTTTTTGAGACAGAGTCTTGCTTCGTCGTCAGGCGCCAGGCTGGAGTGCAGTGGTGCCATCTCGGCTCACTGCAACCTCCGCCTCACGGATTCAAGCAATTCTCCTGCCTCGGCCTCCCGAGTAACTGGGACTACGGGTGTGCACCATCACGCCCAGCTAATTTTTGTATTTTTAGCAGAGACGGGTTTCACCATGTTGGCCAGGATGGTCTCGATCTCTTAACCTCGTGATCTGCCCACCTTGGCCTCCCAAAGTGCTGGGATTACAGGTGTGAGCTACCGCGCCCCGCGAGTTCTGCGTTTATGTAACGGTTTGAAAAATAGCTTAAATACGGTTACGAATTTTGTAATGTGATTTTAGGAAAACCTGAGTTGTGAGGTAAGAATTCTGTTTTATTTATTTAGTGTATCTGTGAATTTAAATACAGTCCTTGGCAACATAAATTTATATGGAATTGGAAACAACTTTATGGATTGTTCATTCGAAATTATGTGATTATTGTTAATCATATGGTTAATCTTAGATTCTAAATATTGCCTAATTCCTATTCTGGTTATTGTTATCGTTTACATAGCTAGTGAAGTAATTGTTCTGACAGAAACTTGGAGATTTCTTAACTCTTTCTTGTCCTCAGTGTGCATTTGTAAATGTTGAAATATTTATAACAAAAGTTAATTTCACAAAGATTTTTGTTAAACAGGAATTTGATAAAGTATATTGCTGATTACTGAGATGTGTTTATTGCGGTAGTGAAGAGAGATGGGCTTCCAGGAAATTGAAAATACTGAAATTACATGCCAAGTGTTGTCCCTAATTGTGTAATAAATATCAAAAGCAAAGTTTCTATGCAGTACGATTTTGGTTTTAGCTGTTCACATATTGTAATGTTACTCATATGTTTTTATTATAGGCAGTGTCACCACTATGCTGTTTTTGTGCCTTAACAGTATTGATTAGGTATTGTAATAGAGATTTTGATGATGAGAAGATCCTTATACAGCACCAAAAAGCAAAGCATTTTAAATGCCATATATGTCACAAGAAATTATATACAGGACCTGGCTTAGCTATTCATTGCATGCAGGTAAGGATTTATTGTCCCCTTGTGATTTGGAAACATCTTGAAAGAATAATCTTCTATTTCTCTGACAAATGTAATTTTTTTTATTTTTTTTTGAGACCGATTCTCACTCTGTCACCCAGGCTGGAGTGCAGTGGCACAATCTGGGCTTACTGCAACATCCATCTCCCAGCTTCAAGCAGTTCTCCCTAGCCTCCCAAGTAGCTGGGATTACAGGAACCCACCGCCACACTCGGCTAGATCCCCCCTCACTCCTGAGACAGAATTGTCCTCTTATTGTCCAGGCTGGAGTGCAGTGGCATGATCTCGGCTCACCGCAACCTCCACCTCCCAGGTTCAAGCGATTCTCCTGCCTCAGCCTCTAGGATTACAGGCATGCGGCACCACGCCTGGTTAATTTTGTTTTTTTTTTTAGTAAAGATGGAGTTTCTGAGTGTTGGTCAGGCTGGTCTTGAATTCCCGACCTCAGGTGAACCACCCGCCTCCGCCTCCCAAAGTGCTGGGATTACAGGCATGAGCCACCTTGCCTGGCCTAATTTTTGTATTTTTAGGAAAGACCAGGTTTCTCCATGTTGGCCAGGTTGGTCTTGAACTTCTGACCTCAGGTGATCCACCCACCTTGGCCTCCCAAAGTGCTGGGATTACAGGTATGAGCCACCGCACCTGGCCGATGACTAATTTTTTTTTTGTTCATTTACCTGCTGTAAAAGATAAGGTAGCCAGTCAGCCTTAAAAACAGATTTGTTCAATAGCCATCAAGAAGATAAACAAAACTGGCCTTTTATGTTTAAAGAGACTTTATATTTGTGTTTAGCCTGATAGTACTTTTCTCGGTTAGAATGGTAGCAGATTGGGATCACAAAATATTTCCGGAGTAGTTGGCAGAGAACAGGAATCAGCAATTTTATTTTTGTTGGTTGTCTGGCCATAAGAATTAATACTTAATCAGCTGTCATTACTCACTGCCATTGCAGGATTTGTTACTATCTGTAGCTTGGGGCTGGGTTTATTTCAACATTTCAGCAGTTTATTTATTGGACTTCTTTTGGAATGGTAGCGTTGTATTTTTTGCCCTTTTTTTTTTTTTTGAGACACTGTCTTCCTCTGTTGCTAGACTGGAGTGCAGTGGCACGATCGAAGCTCACTGCAACCTCCAGACTCCCTGGTTCAAGCGATTCTCCTGCCTTAGCCTCCCGAGTAGCTGGGATTACAGGGATGTGCCATCACACCCAGCTAATTTTTATATTTTTAGTGGAGATGGGGTTTCACCGTGTTGGCCAGGATGGTCTCCATCTCTTGACCTCATGATCTGCCCGCCTTGGCCTCCCAAGGTGCTGGGATTACAGGCGTGAACCACCGTACCCAGCCTTT